TTTTACTTTGGTCCTTTTGTTTTGCTCTGATTTTTTTCCTTAACCTAAACCTTAAGTATGAGTAGAAAAGTTGGGTATTGTAAGGATTCTCAATCCTTAAACTTGTTTAGATGAAATTGAGAAATTTAACAAGTAATTGCTTGATAAAATAAAGGTAAATCTTTTCTTGGTCTTTGTTACCTTATTTTTGTTCTGTAAAGCCAAAATTGCTTTAATGAAAATTTGACCAATGCTAAATATAAAGTAAGAGTATGCTGAGGTTGTGTATGCTATGCCCCAGTTAATTTGGTTTCTTATGATGTGACTAGAGGCCTGTGCACAAAATACATGCACTAAGGCGGGGGGATCCCTCAGCCGTCAGTCGGACATCCTTAGCGCTGCAGCGGAGGCGGGAGAGGCTCCTGCCACCACCACTATGCTTGCCAGCCATGAGCCCGGCTTCTGGCTGAGAGGCGCTTCCGCTGTGGGAGTGCACTGACCACCAGGGAGCAGCTCCTGCATTGAGCGTCTGCCCCTGGTGGTCAGTGCGCATCATAGCGCACTGACTGATCGTTATGCCGTTTGGTTGATTTTCATATTAGCCTTGTATTATATAGGATTATAAATTAAAAATAGGAAAATTATTTTTTATCAGTGGGTAGCACTCTGCCAAGCATTTTAACTCCTTCATTTTGATTCAGTATTGTTTTATTTTATGGCATTTAGTCAATTATTCTGCCTTGAAAAGAAGGTACTCTTATTTTCCAGATAGATTCTTACAAAATGTTGTAAGTAGTAAGCTTTATAGTTAACTAGAGGCCCAGTGCACAGATTCGTGCACATTGAAAGGAAATTAATTAGAAGGTGGCTAGCGGGGTAGGAATGGGCAAGATGGGCCAGACACACCCTGGAGCCAACCTCCCACGGTCCCTCCTTGGCTGGCCGCACCTGGGGCAGCACTGGGGCTCGAAGGGTGTCTGCGGAGTGAGCAGGGGTCCCTCTGGCAGGTGGGGTCCCTCTGCCTGGCCTGTGGGGATTGGGCCGAAACCGGCAGTCCAACATCCCCCGAGGGGTCCCGGAGTGCAAGAGGGCACGCTGCGTTGAGCGTCAGCCCCCTGGTGGTCAGTGCATGTCATTCCTACTGGCTGGTTTTTAAGTGTGCAATACTTTAGTGTTAAGTATATTCACATTATTGCACAACAGATTTCTAGAACTTTTTCATTTTGCAACACTGAAACTCTGTACCCACTAAATACTAATTTCCCTTCCCCCTTTCCTTAGCAACTACATTCTCCTCTTAATGAATTCATTTATCAATTAATGGGCTGTTAATTATATTATTGCAAGCATTCTGGGTTTGGGGGCATTCTTTTTTTTATATATATATTTTATTGATTTTTACGTAGAGGAAGGGAGAGGGATAGAGAGTTAGAAACATTGATCAGCTGCCTCTTGCACACCCCCTACTGGGGATGTGCCTGCAACCAAGATATATGCCCTTGACTGGAATCGAACCTGGGACCCTTCAGTCCGCAGGCCAACGCTCTATCCACTGAGCCAAACCGGTCAGGGCAGGGGGCATTCTTTATATCAAGTTCTTCAGTATATTCCTTCTGCCATGTACATTGCTATATATTGCGTGCTTTCTCTCTCTCATTTGTGGGCACTATATTTAAATGTTTAGGCCTTATTATAGGATGAAACACAATAGTTGGGTCTTAGACAATGTAATATACTCACAGGGAGTATATTAATATAATATGACTGTATTTTGTTTTGTTTATGAAGGAAATGGGAAGACATGATGACCTTTGGTCCTTATTCTACATGTTGGTGGAGTTTGTAGTTGGGCAGCTGCCATGGAGAAAAATAAAAGACAAGGTAATTTTGGAAATGGAAATGTCAGTTTTGGGTAGGGAAAATAATAAAACTGCCTCCTTTGTAGACATCTTTGTTGAGAATATATTTAAATATAAGAATTAAAATGTACAAGCACTTTCACTGTATAATACCCAATATGTATATTTTTGTCTCTATGACCTGCTATTAGAGATCTAGTTAACTTTATGACTTTTTCTATGTACACAGGAATAGATACTAATATAAGTACAATTATTATTTCTGATTTGATTTCTAGTCTTCCCTCTTAGTTTTTATTTTCATTTGTTCTCTTTTTTTTAATATAAATCAATGAAACTTTTAATCGTCACATTATATTGTTTGATTTGAAAACTGTAAACACCTGTGTTGATAACCAGATTTAAGATCAACTGTTTTGGGGGAGAGCTAACGATTCATTGATGCAGAACTCGGTATTATCCTTTGGTTCTGCATTACAGTTCCCCTCCCCACCCCTTAAAGCAGTATGCATTAAGCTATTAGTATGAGCTCAGTTCTTGCTTTATACTTAATTATCCCCAGCACATACCCTTGAGACTGTTACTGAGAGGCTCTTAATGTGTAGCTGCCAAGAGAAATTGACTTTGGTTCCATTTCTCTTTTCTTCCCAGGAGCAAGTAGGCTCTATTAAGGAGAGGTATGACCACAAGCTTATGTTGAAACATCTCCCTCCAGAATTCAGCATCTTTCTGGACCACATTTCCTCTTTGGATTATTTTACAAAACCAGACTATCAGGTAATCAATCCTCTTGTGAGTTCTGTGGGCTAATTATTCTGTCTTCACTTATTGTAGTTATAAATGACTCTGGGAGGTCCCTAGAATAATACTATTTTAATACATTCTGAGGAATGTGGTGAAATTAACTGATGATGACAGTGTCTCTGTGTGTGTGTTTCCTTCCTTCTGGATGAACATACTTCATTGGAGTTTTAGGTTTGTTCATCATGAAACAGATTTTACTGTTTCTGCTATGATTCATCTGATGTAGAAGTGCTGACAGTTCAAATTATGTAAATCCTATAGTTAATGTTGACCAGAAGGAAATGTTCAGCTAGGTAATGTATCTGTCGAGGGCTTGAGGGATGCATATTATATATTAATATGCTTTGGGACAACAGTGAAGATTGTTGGCTCCATTTTGTCTGTGCTCCGTTAATCATTTCCTTAGAGCATCCGTTAATGAGGCCTAAGGGTTGTCTTGGTTTATCACAAATTGCATCCCTAACCCAACCAGCTATATTTCAGAAGATTCTATTGGTTTCAGGGAAAACTTGGTCAGAGCTTAATGCAGAATAATCACTACCACTGAAACATAAATGAAGCCACACATAGATTAATAATAATAATAATATATTAGTGTATCATTTTTACCTACAAAGGACAACACATAGACTTTATTGCCTGTTGATGGAAGTTTTATATTCTAAAGTGTTGTAAGTGTTGCCTAGTCAAAAGACTAAGATTACCCACCGCACAGCGAACTTATTTGCATGTAATAACTATTTCTGTGTGAAACTGCAGCTTTTGTATAAGATATAAATAAGATATAAAGCAGAGAAGCAACATACAACGTTGGTTATATGTTGAGACCTTAGAGACCTTAAGGGGGTGAGCTTGTCTTCTTTCCTATATGACTATTTGTGTTATAAACTATATACTGTCTAACAAAAGGAGAAAATACATTGTATACCAGTCGCTTTGGAGTATGTTCTTATATTTATACTAGAGACCCAATGCACGATATTTGTGCACTTGGGGTGGGGTGGGGTGGGGGGGTCCTTCAGCTGGCCTGCACCCTCTCGCAGTCTAGGATTCCTCCGGGGATGTCCACCTGCCAGCTTAGGCCCGATCCCTGGGGGCATTGGGCCTAAGCTGGCAGGCAGACATCCCTCTCACAGGCAGGAATCCTTCTTACACTCTGGGACCCCTCGTTCCTTACTATCTGCCTGCTCGCTGCTCCTTAGTGCTGCTGTGGAGGTGGAGAGGCTCCCGCCACCGCCACTGCGCTTGCCAGTTGTGAGCCCGGCTTCTGGCAGAGCTGTGCTCCCCCTGTGGGAGCGCACTGACCACCAGGGGGCAGTACCTGCGTTGAGCATCTGCCCCCTGTGGTCAGTGCGCATCATAGCAACCAGTTGTTCTGCTGTTTGGTAGATTTGCATATTAGGGTTTTATTATATAGTATTTCATATATGTATTATATAGTATTTCATAGATGTATTTTCTGAAATGCAGACAGTTCACATTACTTGCAATAAAATAATGAAATTATTCTTGTAAGACTAGATTCAGGAAGAGCTAGAAAATTTTCCAACTTTCCCATCTTGGGTGTTAATAATTTTGTTATTGACATTTGCCTAGGAATGTAAAAGTTTAGCATAGCAAAAGCTTTTAGATTATGTTCTCCACTTAGTTATATCTACAATTTTAAGAAAACTTTTGTATTCACCAGCTGGACTTGAAACTTCAACCTATAATTAATTTAGTTTAAATTAGCACATTATTGTTCTTGAGTTTTTCATTTGTATATTCTCTCGGAGGCTTCTTGGTGTTTCTGTTACAAAACAAAGCATAGTGATTTTCATGTTTTTGGAAGAGAAAGAGCAAGCATAATATTTTCTTTGTTTCACAGATTCCATAAATAATCTGGTTCTTTCTTGTTCTCCAATCTTTCATAAGCAGCGAGTGGGAGCAGGGGGCCAGTGGACAGGAAAAGGATAATTGGAAAAAAGATATTGGTGTGACTGTGTTCTGATGCCTAGTATCAGTGTGGCATCAGGTTCCAAAAAGAGCTGAGCTTTGTAGGTTTTCGTCTCTTGCTTTCCTCGCAGAAGCCTACTGCAGTCTTCATTTTGAGGAAAATTACCCTACTTTGTATCTGATTATTCTTGTGAACGGAATTCATTCTTGAATTTTAGTTTAATTACTGTTCAGAATTTTAAATTTCTCATTGGGCAACCACTATAGTTAAAAACAACAATAAACATCCTCCAGCAACAAGCAAAATACCTACCAGTATTTAGCATGACTGCTGCCCTGGCTACATCAAAGGGCAAATAATATTTCTCCAACTTTCTATGTTCTGAGCCAAGACCAAAATGAATATATTTTATAATCAGAGTGTTAAATGAGGCTGTTTAATAAAGCCTCTTACACTTTGAATGTGTATGTTTTATACATTTTAAAAATCAGAGTTTCTTCCTAGAGAAAATTATCTTAAGAAATTGTACATGGCCAATACCTCATCCAGTAGCCTGCTGCTGCTCACTCTGACAGCAGGTGCAGGCTAGAAAGAAGAGCTGTTTGCTCTCTTCTACCAGGAATCTTTTATGCATGTCTCAATCAGAAAAAAGGCCAACACAGGTTTTGGAAAATGTTATGGTGTTTGGAGATACTATATACAAGTTTATCAGTCAAAATACAGGGTGTGGCATAAGTAGGTTTATAGTTGTTCCTGTATTAGGAACAATAATTAATAGATAATAATACAAGAAAAAGACTGTTTCACATACAACTGTAAACTTATGTTTGCCCCACGCTGTACGATTATATGCTATGTACTCTAAATACTATTTTCTGTCTCTTAAACTGGAGGTGCAGGTATCAGAATTATAGCCAAGATTAAAGCAGATATCTTATAAATATTGTTTTTATTATTTGATTTTGAAAAAGCATAGCAACCATAAGAAACAAAAGAGTGCTGGGCTGTGAATCTCCTTGAATGATAGAATTGCATAGATTTATGCACACACACAGAGGAGTGCATGTAAAACTTGTAAAATTTGATAAGCTCTATGAATTATACCAGTGTCATTTTCCTGGCTTTGATATTGTACTTTAGTTCTTTAGGATGTTACCACTGGGGAAAACTGGGTCAAGGGTACTTCTCTGTATAATACTTTTGTACTATGAATCTTTAATTACAGTTGATCAGAATATGTGCCCTTGCACAACATGGGTTTGAACTGTGTGGGTCCACTTATAAGTGGTTAGGAATTTTCATACATGGAAGGCCAACTTAAGTTATACCTGGATTTTCGGCTCTGTGAGTGGTCAGTACCTCTAACCCCTGAGATGTTGAAGGGTCAACTGTATTTCACATTAAAAGTTTTTTAAAAAGTGCTTGGCCAACGTTTTTTAAATGTGTTTTAAAAAGTATGGCTACCTTATAATTTAAATAAATCATTTTAAGGTGTTTTAAGAAAGGAAATCATCTGAGTGGTACCTAGGAAAATCTTTATCAACCTTGACTTCCACTACAGGACTCCACCTGTATGTGCCACTGTTAATGGAAAACTAATATAGTAGCATCAGACTGGACAAAGGAGAGCCCATGGTGCCTTTACACATTATTGTCACATGCATAGCAGTGTCACAGTTACATCTAGGCAGTACTATTACCCCGTCTTAAGGAGACTTAGTAGCCTGGGAAAACTAGTGGTGCTAGAAGTGGTTATCTGAACCCATTTCTGATGCATTCAAAAAGGCCCAAGCTCTTTCCAGTTTGCCATCTGCCTTCCTTGGAGAGGCGGCCACAAATACAATAGGCCCTATAAAGTAAATACCAACATGACTGGTTAAGAAAGATTCAGTGAAATTACACAAAAATTATATGAAGAATTATCTAAAATTATTGTTGTTAATTAATAGAATTACATGATTCTGACATAAGAACACAAAAAGTATCTTTATTGGAGTGTTCAGATTATGTGAAGTATTGTTTAGCAAGTTGAGAAGTCTAATGAAACCTATATATACCCCATTGGTGAGCCTGAAACTAAAATGTGTATATAAGCCAGTTCATACACTGCCACAACATTGCTAAAATCAGAGGTTATGATAGAGCGGAAATCCAAAACTGGCCTCTCTTGCTTTGGGGGACTTAAAGCAGTTTTAGTGTTTAGCAGTTTAGTGGTAAGAGTTAAATTTTTCAGAGGGCATAGATGAGCGGCTTATGAAGCAAACAAATAAGAATTTGAGCTAGAGACAAAAAAGGAGGAACATCCCATAAATTAGGTCAGAAAAAGTCTTTTTCTAAAGCTGCCATTTAAGCCATGCCCTAAAAAGTGAGACTATATTGACCATTTGGAGAGAAAGAATATTATAAGCAAAAGGAAGAACAATGGGCATAGACTCTGAATCAAGAAAGGAACTAAAAGAAGACAAGTGGCCAGAAGATAGTTAATTAGGGGAGAGAGTGGTTTGAGATGAAATCTGAAAGGCAGAGACTAGATGATGCAGGGCCTTATAGTCCTTGTTAAAGAATTTGGATTTTATTCTCTGCAGCAGGAAGCCTTGAAAGAACATACAGAAGCAGTGTGATCCAATTTGTGGTGGTTTTTTTCTTTATTTATTTTATTGTTGAGAGTATTATAGATATCCCCCATTTTCCCCCTTGACCCATCTCCCACCCCATCCCTGGCCTTCACCTGTCTATTGTCTGTGTCCATGAGCTAGGACTAATTTGTATTTCTAAATCCCTTCACCTTTTTCACCCATCCCCCTAATCCTTCTCCTATCTGGCAGCTGTCAAAATGTTCTCTGTACTTATGAGTCTGTTTCTGTTCTGCTTGTTTATTTATTTTGATTTTTACATTCATTTGTTGATAGGTATTTATTATCATTTTTTTCTTCCTCTCCCTCCTCCTCCTTCTCTTCTTCCTCCCTTTAACATTTCATGTAATACTGATTTGGTGGTGGTGAACTCCTTTAACTTTTTTTTTGTCTAGGAAGCTCTT